CACCTTTAATTTCAGCACCCAGGAGGCAGAGGCAGGTAGATCTCTGTGAGTTCGAGGCCAGCCTGGTCTACAGAGAGAGTTCCAGGACAGCCAAGGCTGCACAGAGAAACCCTGTCTTAAAAACCAACCAACCAAAAAAAAAAAAAAAAAAAAAAAAAAAAAAAAAAAAAAAAAAAAAAAAGAAAGAAAGAGAGACTTTCAAAGGTTCAGATTTTCTTCAAAGTCCAAACTCTCCTTCAAGGGGTAGAGGAGATTGTCCCTGGAGTAAATGACTCAGCAGCTGCTGAGAGTTTCCAGCTCTCCTCTGCTGAGGCCAACTAAGTGTAACTAGTAGATACCCCAAAATCTACCTATGGCCCTTCCTGGTTAACATTTTGTATAAAACTTGGGGGTTGTCTTAGTTAGGGTTACTTTTGCTGTGATGAACACATGACCAAAGCAACTTGGCCCTCCTCCATCAACTACTAATTAGGAAAATGCCTTACAGCCAAATCTTAAGGAGGTGTTTTCTCAGTTGAGGCTCCCTCCAGCTTGTGTCCATGTTGACATAAAACTAGCCAGATCACAACCTGTGTCCCAACACAGGTCCAGCCACTCATCCTCAATAAGCCAATTTTAAAAAGAGCCAAATTAAAAGTGGAAAGCAAGAAGCTAGAGAGATGGCTGAGGTTAAGAGTGCTTGTTGCTCTTATATCCCCATACAGAGGATGGGATTCAAGTCCCAGCTCTAACCATCTGTAACCCCAGTTCCAGACAATACAATAGGCATGCATGCGTACAGGCAAAATACTCATACACACAAAGTAAAATAAATAAACCTAATGAAATAAAATAAAAGTAGAAAACATTAAAGGAATATTTAAGCTGGCTTCTCCTTGAGGACTAGGTTATTTATTTATTTATTTATTTATTTATTTATTTATTTATTTATTTATAAGGGTCTCTGTGAGGTGCTTTTGTATCATACTTTAGAGTTGATCAGTTTGAACAAAGGCAGGGTGGCTGATAGGCCCACATTTTGTGGGGAAACATGTTATCAACACAAAAAACACAGTTCTCATCTTAAAGGGAGTACGAGACAGTCCATTCTGCAGCCATTTTGAGTGACCACAGCTGAGGACCACAGATTAGCACTCAGACACCACACTCAACTCAACAGAGGTTTATTGACCGCTAAACAGAAACAGGTTTTTTAATACAAAACAAACAAACAAACAAACACAAAAAACCTGTAACCAGGAAGCAACCAGGTAACAAAACTGTAACCAGGTGTAAGAAACAAACTGCAACTAGGTAACAACTAAGTAACAAAAACGCAACCAACTATCCAGGTAGAGCAAGCAACATTACATCATTTTGACTAGCTAGATCAAGCTTTTCTAATTGACCTTTAATTTGATTGGTTCTGTAGCTGGGGGACTTCATAGAGTGTCCAGGTAACAAAGTATACCTCAGCCATCTCTCTAGCTTCTTGTTTTGAGAAATAAAATCATAGAGACATAATCAAAATGGAGTCTTGCAGGCAAAATGGCTTCTGATATGCTAACGGTTACAGCAGGTGTTAACAGAGGAGTCAGTTATGCTAAGAAATAAAGTAGGTCTCAACAGAGGGACTATAGAATTTAAGCAGGTTACAATAAGATTTAGGTTACCCTAAATTCCATGTCCCAATGTGGAAGCAGTTTCATGAAATGTTATAGTTTTACAGAACAAAGAAAGTCATAAATCAAGGCAAGTTTTAAATACATTGGTGTGGCTGGATAGTGGTGGCGCACATCTTTAATCCCATCACTCAGGAGGTAGAGGCAGGCAGATCTCTGAGTTTCAAGGCTGGTCTGGTCTGCAGAGCAAGTTCCAGGACAGCCAGGGCTACACAGAGAAACCCTGCCTTGAAAAACAAAACAAAACAACAACAACAAAGCATTGGTGGGAACACCAGGTAAGAGGTTACAGCAAGAAGGGAGAGGCTTTTCTATAGGCCTAAGATGTCTGATGCCATTCTTAGCTTTGGGGCTTGTGTAAACCAGTGGTCTGTTAAATTAATAGATTCCAAAGATTCCTTTCAATGATTTTTTTATTTATTTTTATCTTATGTGCGTTGGTGTTTTGCCTTCATGTGTGTCTGTGTAAGGGCATTGGATCCTGCTGGTGTTACACAGACAGTTGTGAGCTGCCATGTGGGTCCTGGGAACTGAACCTGGATCCTTTGGAAGAACAGTTAGCGTTAACCATTGAACTATCTCTCCATCCCCAGATTCCTTTATCTATTATTCATGGGATGTTGAGTCAGACATAGAGGTGGGCGAAGGGGTTGTTCTGGGAGCCAGAGCTAGCCCAAGAGAAGATAAGTAGCTTCCAGACCTGCAACATTCCAACTTCTCCACATCACTGTAGTTTTAGTTAGTCAGTTTTTGCAGACACAGTTTATTTCCAGGAATTCTCATGAACAATGTCCCAACCAGACAGACCTTCAACTTGTCAGGACAGGAGTTCTCCTGGCAGGAGAAAAAGACCCTGCCAGGCCTTTGTTTTAATCTGCCAGGTTTTGTCTCAGGTCAGGAGGCTGAGGAAGAAGGTGGACTATTGCCATATTGGAAGTTTGCCGTTTCCCCTTTAAGGTTGATTTTTTTATTATCTTTAACTATGTATGATTTGTACATATGCAGGTAACCAAGGCTGCCAGAGGTGTTGGAAACCCCAGGAGCTGGACGTACAGGTGATTTTGAGCTGTTCTCACAGGTTCTTGGAATCGAACTCAGGTCCTCTGAAAGAGCAGCCAGCACCATCTCTCCAGCCTCTCTTGCTATCTTTACTACCTAGCTGAGCCCCCCTCCCTATCTATCATCCTGTCAGGGACCCATCTAACTCCCGACCCCTCAGTTTGACACCTCACATCTTTCGAAGGCACTTTTCCCAGCGCTAAGTTTATCACTAATGTACATTCTCCTTGTCCTTAGGGCTGGGATGCAGTGGGCCATGCAGGGAAAACATGGTTTTACCTTTCTCCTATGCCTTGGTGGACCCTTTGCTCTGAGACCCTGGTGCCCAGTGTTGTTCCCTTGTCCCAGTCTCTGCCCAACATCCCTTCTTGCAACAGAAACCCCCGGGTAGCCACATCCTTCTAACGGCATCCCCAAGCACAGAACCTGGTCACAACCCCTCATTGGCCAGTCCATTGCCCCTTTGGTAACTTCTGCACCCCACCACCATATGGCTCCTGATTCTTTCTGATCCTATCATTGTGTGTGATAATGGTGGCCTGACTCTGTTGTTATGGTAGTCATCCAAGCATTTCCTGTCAAGCTCTGATGCCCATATTGCGTTTGTACTGACCCTGGACTTGTTAATAGTGTTTGAGGAAGCCAAGGTGCAGACTTCAGGTCTGAGGTAGCTGTGGCTCACGTTGTCCAGCTTAGCATGTAAACCCTTCCTCTTGCTCAGGGGTGTGGGAATTATCTAGCTCGCTTCTACCTGAGACATCCTTTTGCCACTGAGTCCCCAAGAACCTGTGTCTTGGGCAATCCTGGGCACACCCATCTCCTTTGAGGGTTCTCACAATACCTGTGGCTAGTGCTTATACCAGGGGACCTGGCATTTCTGGAGCCAAGGTGAGTCCGCAGCTTGGCTCTGAGCTGCCTCTGACAGGCCCAGTCAGAGGGGACAGTGGGTGTCCCGATCCTCCTATGTGGACAGTAGGGACACTGCAGGGAGCCAGTTACTGACAATTTCTCAGCTAAGGTCTAGAACCTTCTTTGGCATCCTTGTGTTGACCACAGGTGGGTGGGATGGGATGTGTTTGCAGCCAGACTGGGGTCATTTTATTGGGACACAGTAGAGATGTGAAGCGGGAGAACCCCAGGGTCTGGCAGCACCCCTGACCACTGCCTAGTGAGTGCCAGCGATGCCTTCAGACGGGCTCCAAACCAGAAATGCCCTCAGGTGCTGTCAGATACCTCCCCTGTGAGGAGCTGGGTTGAGCATGGGACCCAGGTGGCATGTGAGTTCATGCCAGGAGCACAGAGCTTCCAGAGGCCAGCTAGCTAGGTGTCCCTTTGACCCTAGAGGAGAAAATTCCATTGTAGAGACAGGAGTGGGGCAGATACACGGCCTGTCCTTGAGTGTAGAGGTGCCCTGGGACTCCTGCAGGACCCTTCACTGACCTAAACACTCCAGCAGCCGGAAGAAGGCTGCAGACAGGCACTGTCCACTTGGTCCACAAACAGGAGCACTTGGCTTGGCTTACTGTAGGCTCCAGGTAACATCTGTTCTCGGACTTGACAGTAAACTTAGTCACAGCCACTGTCCTGGGTTGTGGGTGTCCACGACCAGCACTTGGCGCTTAAGCCTCAGCTGTCCACTGAAGCAGTGAGGCCATCCATGCAGAACGCCCTGGGGCAGTCCCTGCAGGATGCACTGTGTGGGCACATGGGTCGGGTCTCCCAGCACGGGGACGGGAGGAGTCGCTCCACCGGTGTCTCGGAGCTCACGAGACGGATGAGGGCTTGTCTCGTCCCTGAAGCACAAGCTGTGTCAGAGACACCTGGTGCTTCTGAGACACCAGCCTGAGCCACAGCTCTCTCCTGGTGATGCTACTGGAAGCAGGTGGGACATCCATGTAACCTTGGTGACGAAGGGCTTCAGGTCCCTTCAGCCCCTTCCCATCCTTCCTGAGGTCAAACACCACTTCCTCCCATCTCTTCCTCTAAGCAGGGGCCTGGCCAAGCCCCCTGCCAGCTTCCTGGGGTTGAGGATAAAGGGGCTGAGAGGCCTAAGCAGGAGGAAGTTATGGAGACCTGGCAGGGTAAAGGCACTGTCCTCTTCTCTCCCAGATGCCTCCAACTGGCTTTGGATTCCAATATTCCCTAGCCCAACCCAGGCAAAGCCCAGTCCTCTCCATGCCTCTATGCCCAGAATCATTCTAAGGGCTTCAGCTCTCTCCATCCTGACCCAGGCTACTGCTAGACCCCTCTAGCCCCCCACCCCAGCACCCCTCTCTACAGATGCTGAGCCAGCTGTGTCTGACCTTCTTCTTTCTCAGGTGTTTCATTGCTGCAACCCCAGGTTAGTCCTTATTCCTGGCGTTCCTCCCTCCATTCTACAGAGGCTCCCTGAAGCTCTGTCCCCAGCATCATGGAGACACATGTGCTACCTGTTCCGCCCCAGTGTGGGTGGCAGGCTGAGCACTGGGTCCCTGACCTTCTCCCCACAGCTGCTCCCCATCTGCAGCAGCTGTGCCTGAGGATGTGCTGGTGGGCATCGTGGGGGGCCACAGTGCTCCTCAGGGGAGGTGGCCATGGCAGGTCAGCCTGAGGACCTACAGCTACTACTTTGCCTCCTGGGTGCACAACTGTGGGGGCTCCCTCATCCACCCACAGTGGGTGCTGACTGCTGCCCACTGCATCCACGAGTGAGTTCCTTTGCCATCCAGTGCTGGGCAGGACGAGGGGTGAATCTGGAAGGCCGTGTCAGCGTGGGGTTCTGTTGATTCTGTCTAGGAGAACTTGCCCACAGTACCTAGAGCGTGTGATCACAGATTCTTTCTGATCCCAGGAGAGATGCTGACCCATCGGTCTTTCGGATCCACGCTGGGGATGTGTACCTCTACGGGGGGAAGGAGCTGCTGGGTGTGAGCAGGGTCATTGTTCGCCCAGACTTTGTCTATCCTGGCCTGGGTTCCGATGTAGCCCTGCTCCAGCTGATGGAATCTGTGCAGCCCTCTGATAATGCCAAGCCTGTCAAGCTGTCCTCTGAGTCTCTTTGAGGTCAGCCAGAAGTATGTGTGCTGGTTGACTGGCTGGGGTGCAGCGAGCATGTAAGTACTGGGGAAGGATTCGAGCTGTGGGGACAAACGTGGCATCCGAGGATGCCCGGTGGGTGGTACCAAGGTCTTGGAAGCAGGATCCGGAGAGGAGATCAACTGTGGCTGACAAACATGGACTGAGAGCTACACCTCCAGGCTAATTCCAGATGTCCATCAGAGTCTCTATACCTGAGGCCACAGTTGGATCCAGAAGCTACAATCTGAGGTGGAATCGTTGCTTCTTATTTTCCAACTTATAATAAATTATCTTAGAGAAAATACCAGAAAAAAAAACAAAAAAAAAAAAAAAACAAAAAACCCTGCGTATTTGGCCCTTGACAGGCAACCAGACAGAATCCATGTATAGAAGTCCTAGAAGTTATAGGTGGACATGGACCCTTCAGGCTGGAGTCTAGAAATTCTTTTCCAGAACGGGGATGCTGAGGCTCAGGAAGGGAGCTGAGCTCCGCCAGGGATGGAGCTGTGCTGGAGACAGGCCTCCTCTCTATCCCCAGCTGGAGCAGCAGGATTGTGGGGTAGGCGGGGACTCTCTGCACCACCAGCCACACCTCTCTTCCCTCAGGATCGCTGCCTCCTCTCTACCACCTGCAGCAGGTGCAGGTGAAGATAGTGGACAACGACCTTCATGAGAAGCTGTACCACGATGCCTCTGGGTAGCACTATGAGGGCCGGAGACTGATCCTACAGGACATGCTGTGCACAAGCAGTGAGGGTCGAGACTCCTGCTATGTGAGTCCCACCCACCTCCCCCCTCCACCCCCATCCCCACGTCGGGGCCAATAACCATCAGTGCTTCTTTTTCTCCCAGGGAGACTCAGGTGGCCCTCTGGTCTGCAATGTGGCAGGCTCATGGACCCTGGTGGGAGTGGTCAGCTGGGGCTATGACTGTGCCCTGAATGACATTCCTGGAGTCTATGCACGTGTGCAACCCTTCCTGCCCTGGATCAGGCGGCAGATACAGAAGTTCCCTTGAGCCCAGGTGCTGGTCGTGTGCTGGTCAGCTGAGGATGGGTCGGCTTTCATCACAGTTGCAGAGTGGATGGGCAGAGTGGATGGGCAGGCTCTGGAGTGTAAGCGCCCAGTGTGCCGAGCACTGTCTACTGAAGGACATGGCTCTGTTTCCTGGCTTCCTAAATAAACACATTCATGTTCAAGTTTTCGTGTGAATACAAATCCATTGATGTCTAGTGGAAACACCTGTGGGTGCAGTTTTACTAGTTTCCTAGACAAGGAAACCGAGGGCTGAACTTAGCAGAGGTGGGCTCAGGCAGGTCTGCACTGCGTCCTGGTCCCTGGTCCCTAGGTACCCTGGATGGTTGTCAGGCAGATGTGTGTCTCCCAAGCACCTAGCACCCGGGAACCTGGCTGTGGTGACACCCATCCTTGCACCAGTGTGACCCTGACCCTCATCAATGTCACCATGGGGCCAGGAGGCTGCTGCGATATTGGTTTTCTTCCTGTACCTCCTTTCATTTTACTGCAGACTCAGTGTGGCTAAGGTTATCTACACGGCTTGGGCTGCTGCCTTGAATTATGCATAGAGGCAGCTGTCTAAGATCTAGGTTGAGGGCCACCGGCTGCACAGAAGTTCTGACTCTGGGTTCATGGTGGGGAGGGGCCGACTAACCCTTTTCACTCTGAGCAGCAAAAGAAGAAGGGTGGATTGGGTGGGAGCTTTCACCTCAGACTCAAGCAGGGCTGTTCTTTCATCCCAAGCCTCCACCCAGGAGCTGCTGGTCTGCAGAGGTCATCAGGTGTGCTGCGCAGCCATTTGCACTGGCCTTTGTGGCACGTAGGAGATGGGAGGTGCCTGATAAATGCTAAACTCAGATGAGGTTTATCTCAAGATTCTGGGGTCAGGAGTTGAGAGGGGATGGAAGAGGCTGGGGGGGGGGGCTTTGCTGAGTCTGCAGGGGGCATTAGGTTGCAGTCCTGCGGGGCTGATCTGGCTCCTGTTCTTCGGAAGGGAAGCAGGTGCCTTTAGTATGGTTTCTTTCCCTTTCTTGCCTGTAGCTGGGCAGAGCAATGAGACAGAGGTGGTCACTTCAGAGAGACTGGTAGCCACCTGGTCCCCAGGGTTCCTGTAGGCATCGGGACAGTGCCACAACGGATGTCCTCAGAGCCACCATGCACTCTCTGAAAATACATACACACAGGCCTGCATTTCTCTCTCACATCCCACCACGAGCAAGACCTGCCCTGTGCTTCCGGCACCTCTCCTGGTTGGCGAGGAAGGAAGAAAAAGGATTTTCTGTAGCACACAACCTGGGTGACACCGCTTCAACGTCAGACGGCAGAGGGTAGCAGAACCTGGAGTCTCTGGACTGTGGCTATAGCGGCTCTCAGGGTGCTGGAACTGGGTTGACCTGGCCCTTTTTCTTGTAATTCCCCCCGCTTCCTGGGTATGAGGAGTGGGTCCTCAGGCTCCTGAAAAGACAGGGTGGCTAGGGCTGTGGGGCAATGGGCACTTCTCCTCTGACTGATGTGGAGTCTGGCTCCTGACAACCTGTGCTTGAGACCCTTTCTGTGTACCCCAAGGATTTTCTTTTCTGCCTGTGACACAGTGGAAGGCAGGGCTGGGGGATGTGATTGGTGGGCTCAGCTGTGCTCCGTGTGGCCTCGGATGCCCCTGCCTGCTGTGGCACTCAGTGGCTCTTGAAGTAGTTCTGTGTGGCTCACAGGGAGCCTAATATCTGTAATGGGAAGACAATACTTGTCAGCACCTAGACTAAAGGTGTCCCACTGCCCTTCAGAAGGGCATGTAAGCCTACGTCCCCCTGGTCTACCTATCAGGGTACAGAAATAGTTCCTCAGTTTCTGCCCCAAAGTTAGTGATCACAGGTGAGTGTGTGATGGGGGAGGGTGTAGAGGAAGAAGGGTGCACACGTGGAGGTCAGAAGACAACTTGTAGAGGTCATCTCCCTCCTACTATGTGGGTCTCAGGGATGGGACTCAGATTGCCAGGCTTGACAGCTAGCTTTTGCCTGCTGACAGTCATATCGCCTGGCTCTTTCCCCCATCCCCTCTGACACAGGATCTTTCTATGTAGCCTTGGCTGGCCTGAAACTCATTATGGAGGCCACTGCCTCAGACTTGTAGCTTCCCAAGTGCTGGGGAAAAGGGATGTGCTACAGCAGCCTCCACGGGCACCCGGGACTTCTTACCAAGTTTCACTGGGTAGCATTGGTCTGGAGGCTCAGAAAGTTGATCACACTTGATATAGAAGGTGGAGGGGAGGTAAACTCACACCATTTTCCTTTATAGCAGCTGTTCTCAACCTGTGGGGCCACCTAAGACCACCAGAAAACACAGATATTTACATTATGATTCATAGCAGTAGCAAAATTATGGTTATGAAGTAAGCAATGAAAAAAAAATAATGATCGGGGGTCATCACAACATGAGGAACTGCATTAAAGCATGGCCGCACTGAGAAGATTGAGAACCACTGCTTTATAGGATGGAATGGGCTTCCAAAGGGGTACCCAGGTGATACCACCCTCTGACTCCTCTCCACAGCTCTTAGTGATGATGATGATGGTAGCTTCCCCTAGCAAGGGCTCTGACAGCCATCCTCAGGGGACCGGGTAGCATCCTGTGGATGCACCTTCACCAGCCTCAGTGGGTACCATGCCCCCTGCTACATGTCCAGATGGGTCCTTCTCCTCATACACTGGGAAGACGCAGGGGTAGTGTCCTCTGCAGGAGTAGCTGAGGGGTGCCTGCATGGAACTTCTAGGGGAGCACACACTTGGAAGTGGTTGTAAGAGTGAAAGCTGGAGTTGTTCCACACCTGCCCTTCCCACAAACTGTTCAGTCATTATCTGTAAAACAAGGAATTAGGTTTTCATCAATGGACACCGTTGCTTGGGTGTTTTTTTTTTCCTGCTACAGTGCTGGGGGGGTGAAACCAGAATTGTGTGGACAATGGACAAGCACTCTGCCACTGAGTTATGTCCCTAGTCTGACATCATTGCTTTGTAAGTAGCAAATGCTCTTTAAAAGATGAGACAATTAAATGTAAAAGACAAGAAAATTAAATGGAGAAAAATCATAATTGAATGCTGCTGCAATTTTCATGGAGATGTTTCAGCTACTCCTGGTCATTGTCAGGGCTGAGCCATGGTCTGGGTGCCCTTGTCAGGTACGATTATGAATACACGACAGGCTGGTTCCTGATGCAATCTTGGGGCAAATAAACCTATTAGTGCGGAGCCTTTTCTATCATGTTCTTGGTAAACTCACTTTTGGAAAATAATGACCGGTAATCACTCCCTGGGACTTTTCCTAGGGACATTCACTGTTTCACAGCCCATGGGAACAACTCCCTTCTCCCGGGGCAAGTGGGATTGCCCCTGCACTCTGGATTCAGAACAGAGAAGAGAATGCTTTCCCCAAGGCCACACATAGCATCAGGCACTGAGGATGTCAACCCTGGACCTTCCCCCTGCTCACCTCTGGGCCAGATCCCTTGAGAAGAGACCAGGACAAGTGTGGCCCTGGGCACTCAAGACAAGCAAGCCAATGCAGCCAGATGGGCTTCTTTGTGAGGGAGAGTTGTCAAGGCAGAATGGCCCAAGCACCTAGCCTCTTTCCTATGGCCAGCTCATCTTCTCAATCCCAGGGACATCCTGCTCTGTCTCTGACTCCCGGGCCAATTTCCCATCTGCTCAAGGCTGAGCCTGAACCTGCATCACAGAATCTTCCATGCTAGTCAGGGAGAATGCCAACATGCTGCTCACATACCACAGCCTTGTGGTAATCAGTGCCCGAAATTGCTCCTGCTCCCCCCATTTCAGTGTGAGGATGCTGGGAGGGAGCCAATGTCACATGTGACTAAGCAAATCTGCTCATGTGGACAATGGAGATTTCTCCCTGGGTCACCCAGAACTTGAGAGGAGGACTTTTCAGGTCCTGAAAAAGTACTGTGCCTAATCCAGGGGCTGGCTCATCATGCGCAGGTTGGGATAGATCTGGAGACACTGGAAAAACCTTGTCTGTGTCTCTCTCATAAGCTGTAGCTCAAGCGTTCTATGGACTCTGGTTATTACTCTTAGACAATGGTGCTCCAGCGCTGGTACCTTGTCCCAACTCTCCTTTCTGCAACACCAGCCCTGGGCAACCACATCCTTCACCCAACGGCATCCCTGAGCTCAAAACTTGGACAGGAACTCTCACTGGCTAGGTTGTGGCTCCTGAGCTAACGGACCCAACTCATGTGGTCCCTAGCTCTTTCTGATCCTATCACTGGATGTGCTCATTCATGGTGGCCTGGTCCTGCCTCTATCAGCATGGCCAGGTATCCTGTCCCCAGGTCTTGTTGCCTAACTGCAACAGCAAGGCCACCAATGAGGGGCCTCAGGTGAGATCTCACACAGATAAGTCACCCAAGGGCTTGAAATGGCCACACAAGCAGGAAATGGTTTCCCTTGAGTGAGCCTTTGGGTCACTGCCTAGGCTTTTCTAGGTTTCTTGGAAACTGTAAAGTGCCCAGCCCTGAACTTACCTCCTGTTTGTACTCCCACGCAACTGTCCATTGGGCAGTTTTAAGAGGACCTGTTTTCCCCTCTTTTGCCATTCCCAGTCTTGTTTTGTTTTATTATTTGAGACAGGGTCTCACTATGTAGCCTTGGCTAGCCTGGAGCTCACTCTTTAGGCTAGTCTGGCCTTAAATGCACAGAGATCCACCTGCCTCTGTTTTCTGAGTGCTCAGATTAAAGATGTTTGCCGCTACACCTGGCCTGCTGTTCCCAGTCTTGATAGCCCATTCGGGTTTGGAGGCCACTTCACAGCTAGGCTCCTCTCAGGCTGAGGCTCCCAAGCACACTCCCTCCTGGCCACAACACAAGGGTCCCAGAGCTGGGACAGCTATGTCCTGATGCTAGGCTTACACTGTTCCCCCAAAGTACCCCGGCCCATGCTGGGGCCCCTGGACTCACACTGTCCCCGTGCACAGGTGCTCTGTCCACCTAGCTCAGCCTCTCAGGACTTGCTCTCACTGGATAAGGACCCCGGGGCCAGGTCTGCCTCTCCCTTCTTCCTCTATACCCCCTAAATTCAGCTAACCCTGAGCGACTGTGGGTGCCCTTCCACCAGCACTGCCTGCGCCCCTAGAGCTCAGTCCGCTTTTAGAGTTTGGAGACATCAAGCATTGCTTTTGGGTCACCTTGGGGAACGAGCAGGAGTGTGTTTCTGACGACTGGTGGGACCCTTTCTAAAAGATAGTGTCATGGTGGATGTAGAGGAAGAGGCTGGCCTCGTTCCCATGGGGCCGGTGTGCCCACACAAAGGAGCCACATTCTCTGCAGTGCCGGTGAAGGGGCTGCCACACGGCAAACCTAGGGACCTTCCCTGACTGAGTATGGGGGATAGGCCCTCCTTTAGGTTCTTGAACTGGGGCCCTGAACTTTCCCACTGTTCCAAAGCTAACACAGTACTGTATGTAAAGGAACTGCCAGAGGCTAAGAGCGGGTAGAGTACTTGCCTAAAATACGCAAGGCCCCAGCATTGCATAGGACCAAGAACTACATCTGTAGCCTCAGGACTTGGGAAATAGAGAGGTCGAGAAAGGAGACTCAGAAGTTCAAGTTTATCCTAGGCTACATACTGACCCGGAGGCCATCTTGGACTATGTGAGATGATGAAACTATGTGAGATAATTCCCCCCAATTACTGCCCATAACTAGGGGGAGAGTTCAGCCAGGGCCCACGGTCATTCCAGGGCACCCCTGACACTAAGAATTGTGGAGGGGAAACACAAGACTGAGTTACTGAGGGCAGGGAAATGGAGTGTGCGAGTTGCTGGCAAGCTTTGGGATCCATGGGCCTCACCCTCCCACAGGTGGCTACGAAGAACGGGTTCCGTGTTCAATGCTGTAAGCTTTGCCTATGGATGTTCACAGTGGAGAGATTCTCAGGCGCTCAGAGCAGTTTCCGTGAAGCGTATGTGGAAGGGGGGGTCCTGTGTTCTAGACATCGTAGGCGCAGAAGCTTCCGCACGCTGTCCACAGCATGGCTCTCTGCACCTGGCACAGGGGAGCTGCTTTGCCTGGGTCTGAGTGTCACCTACACAGCTGGAGAGGGTTCTCTTCCCTGGCCCTCCGAGAGCTGGCACTAGCACCAAGCAGTCCTCCTCCCCCAAACTTCCCCATGATGCTACTCTGAGCAGATGGTTACACCCCTATGACTGTCATTCTGGATACCTGGGCCCAGGGAAGGAGATGGTTCCCAACAGTCCCAGCCTGAGGTTACATGCCACTTCCTTCCAGCCCCTCCTCAAAGCAGAGGCCTGGCCAATCCCCTTGCCCACTTCCTGCGGCTCAAGGATAAAAGGGCCCAAGAGGTCCTATGAGGAGGGAGCTGCAGAGACCTGGCATGGTAAGCACTCCATCCCCTTTCCTCCCAGATTCCCTCAATGGGTTCTGGGTTCCAGCTCCATCCCAACCCACACAAGCCTAGCTTCCTCCATGCCCTTCCATGCTTCCATCTTCTCCCAGATCTATGCAGGGGCTGCAGCCCTCTCCACGCAGAGAGGGCTAGTCCAGCCCCCTCCATGCTCTCTCTGTGTCTCTCTATAGATGCTGAGCCTGCTGTGTCTGACTCTCTTCTTTGTTGGGTCCTCCACTGCTGGAAATTCACGTGAGTCCTCACGACACCCTTTCCTTCTACACAGACTCCATAAAGCCCTATTCCCCGGACCCTGGGGTCACATGTGTGACCTGTTCCACCCCAGTGTGGGTGGCAGGCTGAGCACTGGGTCCCTGACCTTCTCCCCATTGTCTGCAGCAGCTGTGCCTGAGGATGTGCTGGTGGGCATCGTGGGGGGGCACAGTGCCCCTCAGGGGAGGTGGCCATGGCAGGTCAGCCTGAGGATCTACAGCTACTACTTTGCCTCCTGGGTGCACATCTGTGGGGGCTCCCTCATCCACCCACAGTGGGTGCTGACTGCTGCCCACTGCATCCACGAGTGAGTTCCTTTGCCATCCAGTGCTGGGCAGGACGAGGGGTGAATCTGGAAGGCCGTGTCAGTGTGGGGTTCTGTTGATTCTGTCCAGGAGAATTTGCCCACAGTACCTAGAGCGTGTGGTCACAGATTCTTTCTGATCCCAGGAGAGATGCTGACCCATCGGTCTTTCGGATCCACGCTGGGGATGTGTACCTCTACGGGGGGAAGGAGCTGCTAGGTGTGAGCCAGGTCATCATCCATCAGGACTATGTGCACGGTGTCCTGGGTTCAGACGTGGCCCTGCTTAGGTTGGAGAAGCCCCTGGGCTGCTCTGCCAACATCAAGCCTGTCAAGATGTTCTCTGGGTCTCTGGAGGTCAACTCGAGGAACCCGTGCTGGGTGACTGGCTGGGGCAGGGTCCACATGTATGGTAGGTATCAAGGGAAGATTTGTGTTGGGGGGACAAACTTGTCATCCGGCGACCCCTGGCGGGTGGCGTTGAGGTACTAGGGAGCAGAGAACTACTCTGAATATAGAACACCTCTGGCTGCTTTCCCACATACTTCAGGTGCCCATCAGAGCTCTGTACCTGAGGTCAATAGCATGGTTGGGCCCAGAACCCAAAACTTTGAGGGGCAAAAGCCCCTCCTCCTTCCTATCCCTCCGTGCTCTCTCCTCCTCCTGCTCCTCTTCCTCCTCCTCTAGAACATCCGACTCCGCTCTCTGGTTTTTGAACTACGGGCAGATGGATTCTTGCTACATCACTTATGTATTTATTTGAAGGGCCATGTGTATCATGGCGTTCATGTGGAGCTCAGGAGACAATTTGCAGGAATCTGTTCTCTCTTCCTACCACATGAGTCCCTGAGATTGAACTCAGCTCTCCAGACTTGGCAGCTGGTGCCTTTACCCACTGACCCATCTCCTCAGCCCCTGCAAGCAGACAGAATGCATCTTTAGCCTCCTCGGTGTCAGGATTGGGCATGGTCTTTCACCCTGGTATCTCCTGTACATACTGTTCCAGGCATGGGTTTGAGTAGGGATGAGCTATCCTCAGCCCCCAGGAGGAGTGGCAGCATAGTGCACAGTTAGGATCTATGCACCCCCAGCCCTACTTCCTCTTTCCCCAGAGTTGCTGCCCCCTCCCTACCGCCTGCAGCAGGTTCAAGCGAAGATAGTGGACAATGCCATCTGTGAGCAGCTATACCACAACGCAACCAGGCACCGCTACCGGAGCCACAGGTTCATCCAAGATGACATGCTGTGTGCTGGCAGCGAGGGCCGAGGGACCTGCTTTGTGAGTCTCATCGACTGCCCCCTTCTTGTCCCCATTCCCACCTCAGGGCCAATACCCACTGGTGCTTCTTCCTCTTCTAGGGTGACTCAGGTGGCCCCCTGGTCTGCAGGGTAGCAGGCTCCTGGAACTTAGTAGGAGTGGTCAGCTGGGGCTATGACTGTGCCCTGAGTGACATCCCTGGGGTCTATGCACGCGTGCAGTCCTTCCTGCCCTGGATCACGCAGCAGATGCAGAAGTTCTCCTGAGCCCAGCCGGCCTCGTGCCGGTTGGCAGAAGAGTCTCCCAGCACCCACTGCTTCAGCCTTTGTCTTCTGAACCTGTGCAGTCCCCTGGGCTTCTGGGAGTCTGGACATCCCTGACCCAACAAAGACAGCAGAAACGGTGGCTGGCAGGGGCGGGTGCTCTCGGCTAGAAGGAAGGTGAAGAGGAATGGGGGTTTGCTATGCATGCTGCTGCTGAAGGTACTGAGCAGCTTCTGCTTTTTGGATGTTCTTAATAAAGGTCTTGTGCACATTCAGGACTTTGTGTGAGTTTACATCTCCTTTTCTTTGGAAAAGATGCCCACACTCATTGTTTACCACGTACTGAGAGAACTCTCTGCCTGTGCAGGTAACCTTGTTTGTGCTTTGTTCTTGTCTTGGTTGGGTATCCAGTTAGTCACCATTGGGTCTCAATATCTTGGCATCCCAAGTGTACTTGGAATCCAGATGTGGCCACACTGTGCACAAAGAATTTAAGGCCAGCATGACAAAAGAACACTTTAGCCATCACCAATGGCACAGTGACTCACAGGAAGTCTTCATCCTGCATCCTTTGTCATTCTGTGCTGGGAGTCTGTATACTCATAACACACAGATAAGGTCACCTGTAGAAGAGCGGGCTGGAAAAGGAGTACCTACCTCAGTACCCCCTCTGCCAGAGTCTCAGCCCCAGCCCCAAGTCTTCCAACTTGCCCGATGAGAGGTCAGCAGGCGAGGATGGAGCTGGCAGCAGGCGGTCTCATCTAGAGCAGGTTCTGAGTTTCCAAGGAGGATGCCCATGGGCATGGGATGGTGCACGGGCTTCAGCGCTGTGGTACATCGGGGACAGGAGGGACAGTGTTGTGGTTTGGCTGGAGCTAAACCCAGACCAGCAGAGATTAACCCAAGCTGCAGGGGGGTGAGAAGAGCCCCAGTCAGGCTTCACCTGAGGGGTGATAGGAAAAGAGGATTGCAAGGGATAGCCCCCCCCCCCGCCAATTACACACTGGGCTATTGCAGGGTGAGGCTGGCCTTTCCATATCTTATTTAGCAGCGAAGTGGGGGTGGACTGTGCTCACAGAAGCCTGGGAATCAGCCAGTTCTGTGGCCAGCTACAGGGCACACAACCACCTGCCTGTGTCCACCCCTGCTCTCTCTGTCCCTCACATCAGGACCTTCATGACTGGGGACTGAGGGAGGCCAAGGGGGAGGGAAAACCCTGCCATCCATGCTCATCTGCCATCTTTGCCATGTGTGGGCTGGAGATGGCTTTAAGGGGATGGACAGCAAAAGGAAAGGCATCAGGCTTTTACTGAAAGCAAAGAGCTGGAAAAGCTTCCGGTGGGCCGCAAAGAGTTAAATCCTCCGGCAAATGCTCTTTGCTGTTCATTTCGAGAGCCTCCAGGTGGCGCTGAAGGATGGCAGGATGGCACTGCAGTTCTGGTGTGCCTGACAGGTAGGTGTGCAAAGGGCTTGTTCATGAGGCGAAGCCCACCGCCTCCCGGTGCAGGGCCTGTTTGTGTTCAGAAGGCAGAAAGCAGCTTTCCCACTCTTTTCAGGGTCTTTTTGCTCTTTCATTTACTTTCTTTTGGGGGACGGAGATCTACGTGGCCCAGGCTGGCTTCAAATTCCCATGTCAAGCTCTTGCTGGAGAGTGTCCGCTCTTTTCATTGCCTTCTGTTTGCTCTTGTATGGATCGCTGGCAGTATGAAGGAGCACGGCCCAGCCTGTGTTCGACTGGAGTCTGCGATGGGGTGCAGTGGGAAGCAGGGTTTGGGGTGCACGCCCAGACTCCCAGCACCCCTCTTACCCCCCACGGTTCTATGAGACCACACAGGCTAGGAGTTTTGTTACACAGATGTACCTGTGAAACCCTTGGGATCACGCCAGAAATGGGTGGGTCCGTTGCGTTCCCCTGATGCCCACACTGAGGCAGCTTCTGATTGGTGGGAGGCCAGATGACTTGTTGAGGAGTGACCATCTTCCTCAGCCTGTGGATGCCCCTAGGACTGCCCTCAGAAAGCAGGATTCAATGCCCCATTCTAGGGTTTTGAATGTTTTGGGAAAACACTCTCCCACTAGGCTACATCTTCAGTCCTTTTGACCCTTTGAAGCTGGCTTGGTAAGTTGGCCAGGCCACCTCTACACTCACAGGCAGGCAGCCTTTCCTGAGGCTGAGGAAGCAGGTCTGTGCCTCTGGGCCTGGGTTTCTGAGCACACATGTGTTACACAACTGTCGTGGCTCTTCCCTTGTGGCTGATACTGTCTGTTGAAGGAATCCACAGGATTTGCTCATCTGGTTAGTGGACATTTGGGCTGTTTCTAATTAGGGCTCTTAGGAGTAAGGCTGCTTTTAACAGTTTGTGTTTTGTGTGAAGGAAACACATGTTTTCTCTTGGAGGAGCACAACTGTGATGGCGGACTCACACAGAATGTTTAAAGGATACAGGCTTCCAGATTCAGGCCGTGATTACATCCTGTGGCCGTGGATAGGGCTGGCTTCTAATCAGGTCTCGGTATTTACCAACTGCTTAGCTTCAGGAGTTCTAGAGAGCAGTGTAGAGTTTCTTCCTGTTTTTCATTTGTGACAGGGCTTTTTTTTTTTTTTCCTACTGTAGACCAGGACGGCTTCAAACTTGCAGTGATTCCCCTGCCTCAGACTCTAGAGAGCTAGGCTTACAAACTTAAGCCACCAAGGCTAGTTCTGTTTCCTTCCTTCCTTCCTTCCTTCCTTCCTTCCTTCCTTCCTTCCTTCCTTCCTTCTTTCTTTCCTTCCTTCCTTCCTTTCTCCTCCCCATCACGCTCTCTCTCTCAACAGAGCCTCATGTAGCCTAGGTTGGCCTTGAACCCCTAAACCTCCTGCCTTCATCTTCCCAGTGCTAAGATTACAGATGGGCACCATCGTACCAGGTGTCTTAGTTTCATTCTTAACTATTGCTTTGATAAAACATCATAACAAAATCAACTTAAGAGTGAAAGTGTTTATTCCAGTCCCCAGTTCAAGGTACACTCCATCACTGTGGGGAAGGCACAGAGGCAGGGGCGCGAGGCAAGTAGTCATGTAATAGTCACAGCACCAGAGCGGAGAGCAATGAGTGCACGCTACTCGGTTCTCTTCCTTCATTTATACAGTTCAGGAGCCCAGCCAGGGAATGGTGCCTGTGTGCTCCCACCTAAATCCGTGTGATTGAAGAGAATTCTTCACTGGGATGCCCAGAGGCCCTTCTCACAGGGGGTTCTGTCAAGTTGAAAGTCAACACTATCACATCCAGTTTGTTCTGGACGGGCAACTCCAACCCAGTGCCCCCTGCATGTCAGACAAGCGCTCTACCAACTGTGCCGCACGCCAAGCTCTGTTCTCCCTGTTTCTAATTAGCATCTTTGTCGGGACTAACAGTGTACATTTCACCACACGTCCATATTATCTATTTGCATATCTTTTTTGGTGAATGTGCAAATGTTTTTCACTTCTTTTTAAAAAAATTGCTTCCTGAGTTCTACATAATATATGTCTTGAATCAAAGAACTTTAAACATTTAAATGCTCTGTGGAGGACTGGTTTCATTATACAGAAGGGGAGGATGGACAGAACGAAGTGAACAGAACGAAGTGATGGGAGTAGAAGAGAGCTGAAAGTTCTGAGGGGTCTTGCCATTTCCAGGTCAGGGCCAGAAGGTCATGGAGTCTGTCTATCATGGTGACAAGACCACCCAGACGCCTTGGGTTTCATATCTGCTGTAAGTTGGGAGGAGGGAGGAGGAAGGAGGTGAGGTCACCGACAGTCTCTCTTGCAGGCAAGAGCTGTTATCGCCATCTGTCTTCACATGGAGTCTGCAACCCAGAGCTGGTCCCAGAGTGCCAGGGACCAGCCCAGAGGCAGAGTACTGCAGAGAAAGGATGTGCGGAATGTTTCAGTGATGCCCTCACTGAAACCCGAGTTTCTTTTCCCAGTGTAGGGAGGCTGCAGTTCCCCTCCAAGCAGCCCTTCCGGTTCCTTCCTGACCCGCTTCCCCACATAGGGCGGGCCAGCCTCCGGGGCGCCTCAGAAAGCTCTGTGTGAGCCTTCTGGTCTGTGGCAACACACCTCCCTCAGTGTCCCTATTCCCACATCCAGCACTGGGTCTTCTGACTCCATCTCAGGTCAGAGGGACCGAGTCTGTAGCTGCCTGAGCAGGGCTTCCTGTCTGGCTAGGGCCCAGGAACAGGACTGTTGCCAGAGTGCAGAGTACAGGACTTTCCTAAGTTCCAAATCTCGGTTCAGGGTTGAGGGGTTCCACCGACAGCCTCTAGATCATGGTTGGGAAAGTGAGGCTGGGGAGAGTTGTTCAACCCTCTTCCAGCACGTGACACCATGGGGCATGACATGATGGGCCTGCCTGTCCCGAAGCCAAAGCTCAAGATTGCACAGCAGGTGCTGGAGGAATGACTCTGCAGTTCAGAGCATGTCCTGCTTTTGTAGACAAGCCAGATGTGGGAGGTTTAGAACAGCACCCAGATCAGAGCTTCTAATGCCCTCTCCTGGCCTCTATGAGCACCTGCACGCTTAGACACACAGTGCTCTTCCCACATTATTAAAAAGAAAATACCTCTTTAAAAATAAGAACTCACACTAAATGTTGGACCTAGTGATGCATAGGACATCATGGGCCCTTGCTAGGTGACAGGGCCTGCCTCCCTCAGGAGCAGGTCTAAGGAGGGGCTGTTTGGGGAGATAGGCGCTGTCAGCTCATCCCAGCACAGATAGGTCAGGGTGAGGGAGTCATGTGCCCACCTGAGATGTCACCCAGGCTAGGGGGGTATCCTTCATGAAACAGACCCTCTGAGTCCTGAACGCTAGAGCCGCCACCGGTCCCTGTAAGGAGGAGTCTATTCTACTGTCCCTCTAGTGTGAGAGACCTGGTCACCTCTTTCTTGTTTAGTTCCCTGCAGTGTTCTGGACACCCTGGATCTCAGGATGGATGTCCAGGAAGAAATTCCATCTGTGCATCCATGCATTCCCTCATCAT